GGGGAGACCGGCCTGGGGGGGCGGGGGGGCGGACACCGGCCTCGCCGCCGCCGCCTCGGGAGATCGAGGGGTGGGGGGTGGAGGAGATGGGGCTCTTCTCCCCCCCCCGCAAGTATCGCGGGTCCCCCTCTTGTAATCTTATAAAACTCAATCATGTCACCCCTCAGTTGTAATTTCTCCAAGCTAAAGAGCCCCAAGCGCTTTAACCTTCCTTCATAGGGAAAGTATTCCAACCCTTTTATCATTCTAGCTGCCCTTTTCTGCACTTTTTCCAATACTATAATATCCTTTCTGAGGTGTTGTGACCAGAATTGCACAAAGTATTCCAAAGTCTATCAGTGGCTACTAGCCAAGGTGACTAAAGGGAACAGAGGCAATGCCAGGAGGTAACATCAAGGGAATGCCTCAGCCTCTGTGCCTTGTCGTTGGACCTCCAGAGTAGCTGGTTGGCCACTGCATGAGACAGGATGCTGGAATAGATGGAACACTGGTTTTATCCAGCAGGGTTATTATATTCTTGTTAACCCCTTGCTCTTGAGGACCCCCTTGCTCTTGAGGACCTATACAAGCTATGTGAACAGACCATCTAATCAAGTTGCCTAGTGGTAAATTCTTTTGGTTTTTGCAAACATTTTATGTGATCTCCCATCCAGAACTGAAACTCTCTCTTGTTCCTGGGTATGTGCTGAGAGTAGGGTTTGAATTTCCAAGTATTCTCTGCTACAGCTGATGTTGTGGGGAGGTTACAGGGCAGGTGAAACCAAACTCAAATTATCAGGGGGCAATACAATAATAATATGCATGGGTGTGGTACCATCAGCAAGTATGTTTCAACATTACCAGCTGGGAGAGATTCACAGAAAACAGGCAGAAAAAACAAACTTTCCAAATGCTTGCTGAGAAGCTTGGAAATACTGAGCTGATTCCAAATCGAACCAAGGGAAGTTTGCCTGTCCCTACTTAACACAATTAACTTCTAGTCCTAGTAATGCAATCCACTGTAGGTTAATTTAGGTCACTCAGCACTAAGAGCAGCTATGTGCAGAGCATCAGACTGTTGTTGAACCTAAGCCTCTGACTAGCATTTCTGGTTGGTGCTTTATATCAAACAAAAAATAGAACTTATTGCAATCCAAACTGACATTTCTAAATAAAAATGTAGATAACTGGTAATCCCTAGAATTCAGCAGTGACTTATTCTGGTGTTGCAAAACTGTAACTTCTTTCTGGAAGAATAAATGTGGTACTTTTGATACCAGTCATATATTTAACAACTTCTTACATGGTTACTGACCCCCAGATGGCTATAGTACAGGGAATGGATGTCATATGTTGTCTTACTAGGAAATTATTCTACAATGCTATCCTCAAATCATAATCCAATTTGGTTACTAAGCAAAAGCCAGGTGATCTGAGCAAATTACCATCAAGGGAGTGTGTTTAACTTTTTCCTATCCTACCTTTCCTCCAATGAGTACAATGTACATGTTTCTTTCAGTTCTTCCACTCAGAATAACCCTGTGAAGTTGGTTACTCTCAGAGACTGACAGACCAAAGGTCTTCCAATGAGATACAGGGCTCAGGGGGGACTGAACAGTTTCTCAGGACCTAGTCCTGCAGCCTAACCCTGTGTATCATACTTGCTCCAGTCTACAGAGACCTGCTAAAAATAAGAGACATCAGGGTCTACTTTCTCTTCCTCCTTGCACTGTGGGGATTTTGTCTAGAATAAGTTGTCAGCAGGGACTTCCAATTCTCTCAAACGTACAATAAAGGTTCTGGGTTTTGTTTTGTTTTTAAAACCCCACGCTTTCTGAGGAATAGCCAGCAACAACGCCTATAAATACTTATCTAAAATGTGGTTCCTTTGATCACTAAGCTGGAAAACCTAAGAACCTGTGCCTGCTACTTAATGAACAGGTAGGATCAGGAGAAAACCATAAGATTGGTTACTGATGCCCAGATAGCTACAGAACAAGCCTTTTGGTCCACAGCTACTGTTTCAATAAAATAAATGCCAAAGAGCCCTCCCGTTCCATACTTATTTCGCAGTGTCGTCCGGAATATCCAGGGAGGCAGTCACATTTGTACTTGCCGATGTAGTGGAAGCAGGTGCCCCCATTCTGACAAGGGCCAGAAGCACAGGGATCAGGTTTACCTGTAAGAGAAGGAAGAAGCAGGTTATATTGGAAAAGGTCCCAAGATGTTTCATGGACTTTGCTCAGCTACAACAATTGCTGCAACACGTATAGTAGGGATACCTATCTCGCAGTGCTTTCCCGTGAAGCGATAGGGACAGGTGCAGTGGTATTCACCATCTGATTCCTTACATGTCCCTCCATTGCGGCAGGGCCCAGAACTGCACAGCTTTGGCCTTGCTGGGAACAGAAAAAGTGTCAGTAGTGATTGCAGGCCCCATTTAAAGAGATATTTCATATTGTAGAGACAGATGCCAGACCTCCACTTCAACAGTTTTCCAGTTTTCCCACCAGTCTAGAACTTCCGAACCCTTCACTGATCTTTCCTCCATTTTGTTTGGGAAATTAATGAGATTTCAGCTATTTATACATTCTCAAAGCTGTTTATCTATGTGCTTTCTATTAGATCCCTTGATCTACAGCTAAGCGCCGGTTTGTTGAGAAAAATGCCCAAGAGTTCTGCTGTAATAACTGGAACACTTGTCAGATTCAACAAGCTAGTTTTTCAGCCAATTTTCCCACTCTTCCCCTTTGCATGTACTGGGCGTGAGACTGCATGGAGAAATACAGCAAATGAATCAACAGCGAATTGACACAGTTGTCACCAATTTCCACAGTTTCAACAGTGCTGTTCAGAACCACTGTACTGTGGAAATAGCTGATGAGTGAACTCCATGTGCTACCAGTTCACTTATTTTTCTTCATGTGACTGTGTTCCTGGGCTTGAAGAAAGACAGAATGATCACACGGAGGAAAGAAGTCATTTCACGTGACCAAGCAAACTCGCCCAGTGACAGCAAAGAGTCTGATGTATGTCTCACTTCAACTCATACACATTAGGCATTGTTCAGCCACAACCTAGCAATGTGATCATAATTGATCATCTACTATTTGATTGCAGTCAAATAACAGATTGGATCCCACATTTGTCACTGGAATGTGCCAATAGATGCCAATCTTCCTTGCTTTCCCTTTCTCACTGCAGCCATTTCAGGCCCTAGAAAGTTTATTTTAGGGCTAGGGGAGCTGCATAGAGTAATATCCACTCAAGACAGGTTTCTGTAGTGGGAAGGGGGGTAGATTCCTCCCTCCTGCCTCTTGCATGAGTAGAGAATGTAGATGGGAGAGGGAGGATTTTGCCTCCTCCCCACTGTAGCCTCCTGACCCCAGAAATAACCATCCCAGGGCCAGAAACATTTTGGGGGAGATGAAAGCTGGGAAGATCAGGGGTCCATAACACTGCTAAGGGTAGGGTTGCCAGAGCCCCTGGTGGAGGCAAGGGGTCCCTGCCACTGGGCCCAGACCCCCTGCTGCCAATCAGCTGGCCAGCAGGGGGACTTACCAGGAGAAAGATGAAGGCCTAGGCCACGTTGCTGGTGTTGCACAGGAAGTGGCATGATCACAACAGCAACGTGCATGTGCATCATGAGCAGTATTTGAAAGACATACAGAACACAGTTGATAATAGAAACACCTGGAAGTGGCTACAAAATGGACACTTGAAGAAAGAAACAGAAGGACTCATTCTAGCTGCACAAGAGCAGGCACTCTAAATAGAAAGTATGAAAGCCAAGATTCAGAAGACCAGTGATAACAGCAAACGTTGACTTTGGAAGACAAAGGATGAAACAGTCAACCACATGGCCAGTGCCTGCAGTAAAATTGCTCAAACTGGTTATAAAGAACATCATGATAGAGTTGCAACTATGTTGCACTGGAATCTTTGGTTGAGGCAGCAGGCTTCTACTAGCCAGCCTCCCTGTTGCTGTTGCAGTATAGTGCTATTAACAAGACCTTTATGGCTTGGCTTCAGCCCATTCATTCCTGGCTGTAGGAACTGAAAATTGAAATTTGCTGCACTGCCCACTTTAACAGTTTTTTAACTGGTTTTATTGTATTAATTTAATGTTTGGTATTTATGAATCAAATCATTTTAAAATTGTATTGGAATCTATTGTTGTGAACCGCCCTAAACTCTCTTGCAGGAAGGGTGGGATAAGGAAGGAAGGAAGGAAGGAAGGAAGGAAGGAAGGAAGGAAGGAAGGAAGGAAGGAAGGAAGGAAGGAAGAAAGGAAGGAAGGAAGGAAATCTGGGTGATGCTCTGGTATTTGGGGAAAAACTCTACGGCAGAAGCTGTTTTTACCACAGATTTTTTGCCCAAATACCAGAGCGTCACAGCAATGTTGCAGTGTGATGATGTCACTTCCTGTACAACACCAGCGACATGGCCTGGGTCTTCCTCTTTCTCCTGGTAGGTCCCACCCATCCCCTGCTGGTGGCCAGGAAGGAACATGGAAACCCTAGCTAAGGGGGAGGAAGGACTTCAGGCTTCCCTCCTTTGCCATTTTTGCCAGTGGAAACCACTGCAGGGGGGCTGTTTACCCCTTCCTCCACAGCCCAAGAAAATAAATGACTTACAACAATCCTATGTGTAATTGGGCACTTGGGTCCTAACTCACATCTTGGGTTGGGCACTTGGGTCCTAACCAATGTTCCCTCTGAGCTGTGGAGTCTTGTGAGCAAAAAATCTGCTTTGTGAGCTACTGGCATTAAAGTTGTGAGCAAGCGATTTGGCTGCTGCATAAATCAGTTTGCTCTAGAGCCATCCTTCCTGAGTTAAGACAAAAATGTGCGAGCTGGAAGCTAAAAAACGGTGAGCTAGCTCACACCAACTCAGCTTAGAGGGAACACTGGTCCTAACTCACATCACACATATTGTGTATTTTTGCCCTGACTCCTCCATGGAAAAGAAGTGATGGAGGGATATTGCTTGCAAATATTTTTCTCTCCCTCCTCTGTGAAAAAAATACCCATTTCTCTTGTTCATAGTATCACAGAATGATCTGGAGTGTAACTTCTGCCCCTCTACCATGGTCTTAGGAGTACCTTTCTCACAGTGTCTGCCGATGAACCCCCGGGTGCATTCACAGGTGTAGGAGTCATCCTGAGCTTCGCATGATCCACCATTCAGGCAAGGGTCTGAGTCACAGGGAGATGGTGGCACAGCTGCAAAGACAGACATGGTCTTATATGGGCTGATGGTAAATGAAAACCCCCATCTGCCCCATGGAAAGAAGCTCAATTAAATTACAGGGGGGAAAGGACACATATTTGTGCCTTAAGAAGCCCAGAAATCTTCCAACTCCTATTTCTTTATCTCTTAGGAAATGTATTTAAATCTTGGTAGTGTCCACTGTAGCCCACCAGTTAAAGGATAAATGCTTAATTAACACACTTATTAATTAATGCAAAATTAACATATGGACGTTACTGCCGCAAGATATAGTTATGGCCATCAGCTGGATGGCTTTAAAAGGGACGTTCATGAAAGATAGCCACCAAACGATCTATCAGCCATGATGGCTATATGAAAACTCTACATTCAGAGGGAGTATCTCTCTAAAAATCGATTACTGGAAGCAACATGGGGATCCATGTCCTTCTTCTAGGCCTTCCAGGGGTATCTGCTTAGTGACTGTAGGAAACAGGATGCTGGAATGGATCACTGGTCTGATCCAGCAGGCTCTTCTTATGTCCTTATGTGTAGCTACAAGATTTACAAGGTAGGTTGTCAGTCACTAATGTATTGAAACTACACAATTTCTTTTATTACAGACAAAATAATTCCTACAGCACTTCTGTGCATAAAGAAATTTACTATTCTCCTTTACTGGGGACACAATGATTTGCTTAGGTCCTTCAGAACTGATTTGCATGCAAAATAGAATGCATAAGTCACTCATCATGTACCACTTCCACATCACAAGCAATGTCACCCTCACATTCAAACCTAATATTCCATCAACTGTACCATACTTCCCAGGTATGTATTCCCAGTCCCAGTCCAGTTACCTTTATTGGCATGTAGGTTTGTATTCCATTCCTCTTAATGCTCCACCAACATTATCTTCTCGGAGCACAAAGATATGGTCCCGTCTAGTCTCCACTGTCCTGGCCTGGATGACCCAGGCTAGCCCAATCTTGTCAGGTCTCAGAAGCTAAACAGGATGACTCTGGCTAGTATTTGGATGGGAGACTTCCAAGGAATACCAGGGCTGTGATGTGGACACAGGCAATGGAAAACTGCCTCTGAACGTCTCTTGCCTTGAAAACCCTACAGGGTCGCGTAAGTCAGCTGTGACTTGATGGCACTTTCCACCACCAGTCTCTGCTAATCTGCATAGGCTCTGGATCGGTAACAGTCTGCATGTAGTACTGGGCACCCTCCCACAACTTGGATTCTTGCAGTGAGAGCAAGGCACTATATTTCCAGATGACCTGTCCTACTTACTGTGGTTAGTGCCATAATCTGTATGGCACACACACAGGTAACTGCCTCCGTACTCCATACAATAACCTCCATCTGGGCACTGGGTGTTCATACTGCAAGGTGTAGCAGTCACTTCTGTGAAGGATAGAAAATGCAATTCCCCATCACAAAGCTCAATGCAATACACGTTTGCTTTAAATAGACAAGCAATATTAGGTCAAAGAAGGACCGGTCCTTAGCAGACACTTGTACATGATAAAATGATGCAAGTTTGTGAGTTCTTTATCAAGAGTTGGAGGCCATTATCTGAAGTCCATGCCTGTTCTGTCTCCTGCAGGTTGCATCATTCTAGCAACAGAATGTCACACTTTGTGCAGTGTCCTTTTGAGAAGTTCCAATCCAGGAACTCTGTTGAAGCATACAGTCTTTGATTCAACATTATGCATTTTCACAGTACAGATTATAATTCAAACCAAAAAGGGCATAGGTACTTGTGGTGTTAAAAGCCTCTTATCTTAGATTTCTCCATGATTGGTACCAGTTGTGTAAAAACAGCAATGATTTTGTATAAGAAGAAGAAGAAGAGATTGGATTTATACCCCACCCTTTGTTGGGAAAAATAGGCAAAAATACTTAAATAGAGTTTGCAATGGATCTTTGCTTCACTGGAGAGGAGACATTTCTTTCTATGTAAAAAGCTTTATTTCTAAGGGAAGGGTTCACATGGAAAGCTACAAAACAAAGAGATATCTAGAGCTACATTTTCATATCTTTACAGCTAGAGACACATGGTCACACAACAATGGAGATTCTCCTTCTTCTTGACCCCTAGAAGGAAGTCACCTGAACACAATAACCAATGATTGCTAGTAAACAGACTCAGATTTTCCGGGGCTATCTTCCCATTGGCTCTGAGCCACGTTTCCCTTCCAGGTCATTAAACAATAGTACACTAGGTAAAACAGATTAACCCTATAATGATTGAAAACTAGACCTTGCATCTCACATATTTCCAACACCCTTCACTACCCAAAGGAGTCTCAGAGCGGCTTACAAACCCTGTGAGGTAGGAGGGGCTGAGAGAACTCTTGACAGAAACTGCTCTTTTTCAAGAACAGCTGTGCCATAGCTTGTGACTGACCCAAGGTCACATCAGCAGGTGCAAGTGGAGGAGTGGGGAATCAAACCTGGTTCTCCCAGATTAGAATCAGCACACTTAACCACTACACCAAAGTGGCTCCTCCCCCATCTTCCTTGGTTTGCATCCATAATGTGAAAGCTCTAGAAGTCATTTTAAGGCAAAGCTATTTTCAGTTGGTGGTAGGATCACCACAAACACACGTAGGTTCATTAATAGGCCAAGCAAGAGGAATTACATGGGAGTCAAGCAGTCCATGAGTCTTGACCAGTTTAGCCAACTTCAGGCCAACCTGCTTCCTGCTTGGTTTCTTCTTGAACCCGCTAATCTTCTGTTTCACCTGGACACTACTCTAGTGATTGTTCTCCTATATGTTTCTCTATTCAGGAGTTATGCTCTGTCCATGCCTCTTTTTGCTATGGGTCACAATCTATAGGTGCATGTACTAGATATATACTCAGAATAACTGCAGAGGAGCAGTCATATTAGTCTGCTGCAGCAAAATCAAACAGGAGTCTAGTGGCACCTTTAGGCTAGTCTTTAGTCTACCCCAGACTCCTGCTTACAACAGATAGTCAAGAATGTTCTGGAGCAATTTCATGTACCAAACCCTGCACACTTGTAAAAACACATTTTAAGAAGTTTTTAAAAGGATTTTGGAGATTTGGTATAGATTCTACATTAAGGAAAGCATAGGCAAAAACAGCATATGCATGGACCTGAAGGCAGTTTCCACTTAAGCAGTGTTTGCACCAAGTTTCCAACCTCCTTTTTAATTTCAGAATGTATATACAACATGACACATCACAAGTACAAGCTACCGATTGGTCTACTAACTTGTGGGGAAAAGGTCTGCTATAGGACACAACCTCACATACACAAGTGTTCTATTATAGGTTGTCAATCCATTCCAGATTGGATTAAAAAGCAGGATATATCACATCAAATTGAATTTTTAGAAATTTACTAGGGTTACCCTGGAAAGCTCCATGTGAAAGAGTTCAACCCTTCCAAGAGGAAAGTTGTGTTTGAATAATGAACCCAGCAAAATCAGCATGGTTAGATCTTCAGATTCTTGCTGAGAAGGGTACTGTGATTGATCTGAATACTGGGTTAGAACTGGATTTTCCCAGGATAAATGCTGTGAAAATTGCATTTTCCTGTTATGAACAAGTGATGAAGACAGAGGCTAGGTAAAGTGGTCTGGAGAGGCATCACTTCCTATGACAGGTACACACACACTCTGTTTGTCCTGTTATTCTCTGGTTTAACAGGTTTTCTGAACAAACAAAAACTCATTAAAACCCCATCTACCAGCGGTAACAACATCTACACCACAAGAGCAATTTCTGTTTTAAATTGCCTTTCCTTCTCTAAAAAAAGCTGCCATCCATCTCCAGACAGAGTTAATCAGGGAAGGACATTATCTTTCTTTAGAGATCAATATTCAGAAAGTAAATAGAGCAACCCGTCAAAATCAGCAATAATAGTGCACTAGAATCTCTTGTTTCATCCCTTATGCAGCCTATTGGTGTTTTTTTAAGTAAAACCATAAGAACCCAATGAAAATGTAAACAAAAATCAAGAGAACTTTATTCCTACCCAATTCACAGAGAAGACCAAAATATCCTAGTGGGCATTGGCATACAGTGCTGTTTCCATCTAGGCACTTTCCCCCATTCCGACACTCGCAGTCCTCTGAAAGCTCTGCAAAAAAGCCAATGAAAAAGAGACTAATTAGGCTCATCTGTGCCAGCAAAAGCGCAGCTCTTGAGGCCTTCATGATCCCCCCCCTCCCCATTAACCAACTCTCCGTTGTTCAGGCTTGCTTTGGGGAGGGATCTGGATTAGGTTTGGCTTCAAGCTTTGTGCTGACAGAACCTTTACTCCCTTTCTCATGACCTCAGATATTTACCTTAATTAACACCCAGGAGACTGAAAATTACAAACCAGCTGCTGCTCCCCACTGGAGTCATCGAACTCCACCTAGCAAAGGCTCCCTTGTGGTCATATCAGTGCTCTGTTTGGCTCTAATGAGCCTTGCTGCTTCTTTTAAAAGAAGTACCCCCCCCACTCAACCCATCCCCCCTTTCCTTCTGCAGAATGACATGTGCCAGTGTTTCCTAGCATGGGGTATCTGCATCCAAACAGCGCACTGCAAAAAGCCTGATTGAAATTGGGGAGAACATGAGATGCAATGAGAGAATGGAGAAAACTGCAGCTCCCTCTGTACTGTGGGAGAACTCTGGCACAGGAATCCTTCTATAACAACAAGCACCTCCTAACCAGGCTGGGTCTATTAATGTGGCAAGCAGCAAAGTGATGGAAGGCAGAAGTGGGCAGTCAGCAAGCTTCCATTCCCTGTATATGATAAGGGTGCCCAAATTTCCAGTTGAGAGGTTGGCAAACCAACATACTGGGAACCCTAGCCTGATTTTGAATTGTGCTCATACTTAGGGGACAATTTGCACATCCATTCTGATACTGCAAAAAATGCAGCTCTCCCTCATTTAGTTTTGGGAATGATGTAGCAGGAGTATAAAACCCCAGACACTTTTCTGGGTTCACAGGATTGGTTCTTCACCTGAGCAACTGAGTCAAGTTCCTGTGGAGGTAGAAGCCCCACAAGGGCTGGTGTCATGGGAGAAGGCAAAACAGGCATGGCTTAAGACCATCATAGCCTCCTGGAACCACCAGGTGGGTTCAAGGAGAGCCCCTGAGATGCCTGGTTGTGACTATTTTTTTGCAGCTGGGCCAGAAAGGTTGCCTGTCCCTAGTCTAACAGGTTTCTGAAACACTCACTAAGATCACAGATGTCTGTGTCTTAGAAACATTTTGGAGCAAATGGCCATGTGATTTAAATTTCCTCCATTTTTTCTTAAACCCAGAAAAAACTACAGGGAACCACATTCTGGAACTTGCAATTTGTATGATGTAACCTTGTCCCTCTGAGCTGTTCTCTTTCTGGGGAAAGGATGTAATATACCTGTACACTTCCTCCATGGGGCAGAAAGCATCTCAATAGGGTGATTTTCATATGAAATACAACTTCTTGTGGGAAAAATAATTGTAATTCGCTCTAAAAAATTTCCCATCCTGATCACAACTTCCTGCAAAGGCTTTCTGTAATAATAATTTCAGAAATCCTCTTATAAGACATTAATGTGACTGAGCATTATGTGCAGGTTGATACTGAACTTCCAGTTGGAATATACAAGGTCTACAGAGGTCTATAGAGCACCTACTTGAGGAAGATCAGAAGAACAGCCTATGGGTGACAGCTGAAGGACTGCTAGTTAGCATAGCTAGATTAAGGATTTTCCACCATTTCAAATTATGTCCTTCCTGTCTCCTGAATAGCTCTTTGGAGACTTCCTGCTCTAACAGAGCCCTCCCCCTTTGTTCCTGTCTCTCACAGCAGTTAGTCAGTTAGTTAAGCCTCTCCCCCTCTCCTCTGTTCCATCAGAGTTTATTTCTTCTTTAATAAACTGAGTTATTTCCTTTAAACAGTTGATGCTCCATTCCTCTGCATATTTAAACTCTTCCAACAATTCCAGTACTTACTGTCTCTGCAATCAGGACCTGAATATCCCTCAAGACATTCACACATGTAGCCTTGACTCGTTTCAAGACAAGTGCCCTCATTCTGGCATGGATTGGAGATACACGCACTGGGCATTCTGGGCCCACCTATAAAACATTTGTGAATGATTAGTGACATGAGGAAAGAGCAAGGTATGCGTAGTATGGAGAAAGGCAGACCACAAAAGCAGTTATTTACAGTCTCCAATACATGAAAAGTTAGCCTTAGGAAGAAGGGTTGTTGCTGTTCTCCATGTCTACTATGGACAAGATAGACAATGTAAACTGAGGCCCAAAGCAGTTTGGTTGAATAACTTTCTAACTAGAAGTTTGCTAGGTGTTTTGGAATAGTACTGAAGATCTGTAAGACCAGACTGAGCAAACATTTGGATGGAGTGATTTGGTTGAGTACCAAAAAGGCTTTATTATGCAAGTTACATCCTTGTAATGAAGGATGCCCATTATTGGGGATAAGGACAGACAGGTTTTTTCCACAAGGTTGGTTTATGTAGGACTTTAACCATCAACAGTATACTGGGTCTTCTAGCCCAAGATAATTCAGAGAGTTAAGTTGACATATCAGCAACATTCAATGATATTTCCAATTCTTTTTGAAGCACTAAATTTGGTCCAATATTAAGAATCTTCCTTTCACCATGCAAATCTTAAACCAGCTTCTACTGACAGCAACAATAGCTAAATACAACACAGCATCTTAGACACACACATAGAACAACTTCCCCAATTACTCAAGTGGAAAGAAGATTATTAATATTCAAGCATGGTGACGGGCCTCTTTAATGACATGGAGGCAAATTTTCCCCTTAGACTGAACACGTTGGTAGAAAATTGCCTCTCCTCCTCTTCCATCCCTGTCCCCACTGGCAGCAAAGGGCTAGATAACAATCCCACTTGGTAAAGGAGAAGCCAGTTTCCTGGGTGTCACAGAGGGCATCCTTCGCTCATAACTTGTCTTTTTTTTCTTATTTTTTTATGATGACAGTGGGTGCAGAATGATCCTGCTCACCAAACTGACAGTTGTTCCCATAGTAGCCTGGAGAGCATGTGCAGATGTAGCGCCCTGGGCGGATGTAGTTGCACGTCTGCCGGTTCCTGCAGTTCCTGCCCTCACAGGCTGAAGGATCTAGAGCGGAGAAGAGTAGGGAGCCTCAGTACGGCCCAACGCAGCCGAGCAACTAAACAGAACAAGTACGGGGCTGAGTTTAAGTAGAAAACCTGACAGGAGCATCAGAGCGGAGAAAGAGGTACAGAGTGAAGACTTCTGCCACTGAGAGAGTCTGGCATTGTGGGGAGGAGACTGCTGCCATGCAGTTATGAAATCAGGGCACCTGTTTCACAGCGTTGTCCTGTGAATGGCGCCACACACACACAGGTGTAATTGTCCACCAGGTCCATACATTGCCCACCATTCAGGCATGGGTTGGACTCGCATTCATTTATCTCTGTAAAAGGAAAAACAAAAACACAACATTAAGATGGGTCACATATGAAAATCAGCTGCAGACTTAGTCATGCACACAAAATACTCCAAGTCTCTATGTATGTACATTTTAAGGGTCCTCCTTTATAAGAAAAGCTAAACTGGGAATTGCAAACATCCAGTTCCCACCTTGCATCACTGAGCATTCCCCTACTCATAAAAGAATGAGGAAGCAGAACTATAGACATGCACTGGAACTGCTGGATTGAGACCTTGGACACCTGGGTTCTTCGTTGTCCAACTTTTGTGAGAAGAATGATATCAGCATTCTTTGAACATCTTCCCAAATCCTCCGTTGCAATGCCTGACTGAAGACCTTCCTTGACTAAAGGAGCTAGCACTCCTTTCATTAGCTCACCTGTCTCACAATCTTCTCCAGTATAGCCTGGCTGGCACAGGCACATAGCTGTTCTGTTTGCTGCCTGGCATTCCCCACCATTCAGGCATTCTTTGGCTTCACATGGAGATTCCTCTGTGATGTTTCAGCAAATGAAACAAACACTAAATTAAGACACAAAGAATTTGCAGTTCCACTGATACAAAGGTAAATATGCATGCATAATATTTATACCACAGCTGCTGAATGTGTGTGCCAGACACACTGTTTTATTTCTCCCCTTTTCAGTTTTCAGGCATGCACACCTCTTTAGTAGCATATCTTGTCTAAACCATCATAGGTGGGCATGAGAAGTGATGTGAAGTGTGGAAGGAGAAAGGTAGATGATGTTATAGCTTTTCTAGGTCCATCTGTCCACCAGTATTATGGAGGGGACAAGCTTCCATTGCTACAGTCTGTAGCTTCTGTGTGTAACACAAAATGTCACCACAAAAGGTCGATGAAATTAAGCCCTTTATGGATTTGCAAGTGATTACTCTTGCAATTAGGGATGGATATGAACCAGCTCACAAACTAAAGTTTGTGATGAATTTTGGCTGGTTTGTGGTTTGTAAACCAAAGTCCGTGCCAGGTCAACTAGCATGAACTTTCCATGAACTTTCAAGCAGTTCCTAGAGACTTGTGCGGGTTCAAGACTGTGGCTGCTCAAACAAAATGTTCACCAAACTTCAAAGCAACAGGGCCCACTGAATTCTCCAGCCTTGGAAACACTTTTGTCAGTTTCAAATTAGTCATGTCAGTTTCAAGAGCTCCCCCTTCCAGGCATTCCTTTGTGTTACTTCCCATTTTCTTGCACAGAGCTTGCAAAATCCCACCCCCCCCCCCTTTGCTTGGGTTTCTGACTCTGTGCTTTGAGATCAGTCCTTTTAAACCCAGTCAACGGCACTGGGTTCTGCTGGGCATTCTGCACATTGTAACCAGTTGTGCTGGGCTTGCAAAATCCCACCCACCCACCCCCCCCCCGCACTTGGATTTGGTTCCGCTGGGCATTCTGTACACTGAACTGGTTGTGCTGGGCTTGAAAAAATCCCCCCCTTCAGGTTGTACTTCAAGGAGTCTCTGGTTTGACATTAGTCCTCTTTTACTTGCATTGCTTCAGTGGCACTGAGTTTTTCTGGGCCTTCTGTATGCTGAACTGGTTGTGCTGGGCTTGCAACCCCCCTTGCTTGGATTGTGATTCTGTACTTCACATCAATCTTGTAGAGCTGGCATTGCCACAATGGCACTGGGTTCTGCTGGGCACTAGTACATTGCACTGGTTCTGTTGGGCTTACAAAACTGCCCTCCATCACTGTAAGTTTCTACTGCAGAGATTCTCTGGCTTGACCTCAGTCCTGTTGGGTTTGCAATGCCACAGTGGCACTGGTTATGCTGGGTACATTGCACTGGTTTGGCTGGCCTAACTAAAGCATTCCATTTGGAGCTACTGTCAAGGCAGTTGTTCAGGCCTACTCTTTGTTTCATACCTGTTAACCACACCAGACATGGCTAAAAATCTTACATCTGCAAAGTTGGGTCACTTTCATTTCTCTCCTCTATCCGATCTTATTCTCATCCATAGCATATTTATATGCTATACAAGCTCTAAAAATATTCCCTGTTTTTTATCCAGGAAATATTATATAAGGCACAGTTACAGAATGAAACCCATATTTTTCACAGCAAGATATCCTGTCTCAGGACCTGATTAAGAAACTCTTGTGAATGAGTTCTGACCTGGAAGTCACTGCAAAGGTCACTGCTGACAGCAGGAGGATGCAGCCGCCCTCACTTTGATGCAAAGATATCAAAGGCAAAGGATGCACAGTTTTGAAATCTGTGGGATGCAAAATACCCTGATCCGGAATATCTCAGAGAGAACTACAAGACAGCCACCCTCCCCTGCCCTTTAACTGAACTACCACAGGCTACATCTTTATCAGCAATGTAGATAAATACATGATAGATTAAAAATATTATTTAAACTTCATATTTTTAAAAAGTTAGTTGTATTAGACATCTCTTAAAATAACCTGCAGTTTATATGAGCATCAAGGATTTCTGGATGAAGCAGATTGTTTTAGTTCCTTTCCAACCTGATTTCAGGCTGGTTTGATGATTCTTTTTAAAAAATCTATCATGTATTATGGGACTAAAACAGCCTTGGTCATGCTGGTGTATGACCAGCACTTAGAGATGGACAGAGGAACTGTGACCCCACTGATTCTCCTAGACCTCAGTGGCTTTTTATACCATTGACCACAGTATCCTTCTAAACTGCCTTTTGGAGTTGAGAATGGGAGATGCCATTTTGCAGTGGTTTCAGTCCTACCCAGAAGGTAGGTTTCAGATGATGATGCTGGGAGACTGCTACTCAGCCATTGGCATCTGGCCTATAGGATCCTGCAAGAGTCCATCTTGCCCCCCCCATGCCCTTTAACATCTATATGAAACTGCTGGGTGAGGTCTTCTGGAAGTTTTGGCTAGATTGTCATTACCATGGGGATGACACTCAGCTTTATCTCATACTTCCAGATCTCAGGAAGGCTGTAGAAACCCTGAACCTTGAGGGAGTGTTGAGGTGCATGCAAGCTAATAAATCAAAGCTTAATCCTGACAAGTTGGAAGTGCTACTGGTTTGTGGAAGGAACAACACAGGATTTAAAATGTCTCTGGTTCTAGATGGGATTGCACCCCCCTTGAAAGAGCAGGTCTCTAGCTTGGAGGTGCTCCTGGATCCAGGCCTATGCTGGACAAGCAGGTGGTAGTTGTAACTAGGAGTGCCTTTTACAAGTTCATTTGGTCAGCCAGCTGCCACCTTTCCTGGGCAAAAAAACCCTGGCCACCGTGTTGCATGCCCTGGTAACATCTATATTAGATTACTGCAATACTCTTGAAGCAGGGCTGTCTTTGAAAAGATTATGGAAACTTTAATAGGTACAGAATACTGAAGCTAGAGTGGGTCACAGGAACCATATCCCTCCAGTCTTAGCTCAGCTATATTGACTCCCAATTTGTTTCTGTGCCAATTCAGGGTGCTTTCATTGACCTGGTAAACCCTATACAGTTTGTGGCCAGCATATTTTAAGGACTGCCTATTCCCATACAAACCTACACAACTACTATAGTCATTTTCTGAGGCTCCCGTCTGAGTTTAGATGGGTGGCAACTGGAGAGACAGCCTTCTCAGTCATGGCACAAAGATAATGAATTCCTTCCCCAGATATATTAATCTGTCTCCTTCTATCACTGTCTTCTTCCAGTGAGTGAAGACATTTTTGTTTTGTCTGGTGTTCTCTCAATGACCCCTCCTTCTTGCCCCAGGTTTTAATTTTTGTTTCTGTGTTTTTACTCATGGGTTTTGCTTTTAAACTGGTTTACTAATATGTTTTTATAATGTTCTGTTTTTGTTAGCCACCTTGGTGGCCCTTACTGGGCTGAAAGGCAGGATATAAATTTTGTAAACTGGCTCCCAGAATACTTGCATGTTGATACCATTCTCACTCCCTTCCAGTTGCTGCTCAGTATTTATCTTTTCAGCAGTTCTTTTCATACAACCCCCTTAGTCCTCATCCTGTTCAGAAACTAAGCCAAAATGTATGTTCATTTCAGTTATGTAGACTTTATTTCTATCTATCCCTTCTTTCTTCTCCTCACTTTGTTATCTTTTTCATCTGAAATGTTATACTTTAATGCTTAAGCTATTAGAGGGCAGAGTCTTCTTGTACTATGAACAGCACTGCACAAGCAGACAAGACAGTAACACCACCACCACCACCACAAATTGCCTTTTTTACTTGAAGATCAAGTAATTAAATCAATCCACCCAGTGTTTTTTCAATCCCTCCTAAAAATATTGGCTGTATGTATACTTATACACATTGCCACTGTCCTGTCCCAAAACTTTCTAACAAAGAGGCACTGGGGCAGGTATATGCTTATAACTGCTTTGCCCACCTAGTCCTACCCAGGGGTCATTTCGTAGAAAAAGAGCTGCAGGAGCTCATTAGCATACCTGATAAGCTATTAGCATAAAGACCATTAGCATATGCCACACCCCCTGACATCACCGAAAGTTATGTCAGAAGGGGAAGCAAAAAGGGGGGAAGGCATCTTCAAAAGGCCCCCCTTCCCTTCTCCAGCCGGCCTACCAAGGCGGTCTGGGGGGGGGGAGCAAAGAGAAGGGGTTTAGAGTCTAGAGTTGCACCACAGTAGCAGTGCGATCTCTCCATTCTATTCTATGGGGCCATCGAATACAATGGAGAAGGAGCTTGGGGGCGGGGACCTGGGGGTGGGGCTTGTCACCACCGCCATTTGTGCCCGCTCCAGCCCCAAACGACTCCTGGTCCTACCCATAAACCTGATTTGCTCATACTTGCCATTACACAATGCTGCTCACCAATTTCACATGTGATCCCTTTGAATCCTTGCGGACACGAACACCTGAAGCTGTTGATGCCATCAATACAAGAGCCTTTGTTCTGACATGGATTAGAAGCGCATTCATCCACATCTAAAAAACAATTGGAAATGCAAACAATCTTCCTTTAATTTCCCCCCACAGTGTTAGGTTGATCTGGATAACACCCATTCCAATGGCAACAGTTTGGATGCTTCCTCAGAACCATCTCTTTTTCCTCAGGGACAAAACATCTTTTCCTCCCAAATTCCAACAGAGGGCCAAACTCACAGGGTAACATACACACACATACCATAAACAAACAGTAATAATATAAAGTCAATAAAATATATGTAAGCCTTGTAAAATATTTACTATTCAAAAGTGTGTTAAGTGCTTTCACCTGCAGAGTGGGCCCTAGCCTAAAAACACTGCCCTATAGAGGAGGTGCTTCCTGCAGGGAGGCTGGGTGAGTAGTTGCCTGGCAACAGGGCAGAAGAAGGAGAGGGTGTACTCCAAGCGGGAGAAGCAGCCAAAGAAGATGCTGAGGTGTTTTTTTTCTCCTGATGGAGAATTCCTAAAGACGTTCCTGGGGAAAAACAGACCGTGGAGACTGAGAAAGGCAGTTAGCAGAGGAGTAGCTGTATTCTGGAGTGAGCTGTTAGTCCTGAGAGTGTGTGCCTTCTCAGTGACTCTGAGGAAAAGTTATCAGAAGACTTTCTTCTCTTTGTGCCCTAAGTTTGGACCACCATATATATTTATTCATACTGTTTGTTAAAGCTCCCATTCTGACCTTATTGTTTCCCCTCACCTTTCAATAAATGTATTTTGTTTAGATGTGTTCAGATTTTGAATGGGGCATCCACAATCCTGTGACCACTAACTTAGCCCTTTTAAGGCAAAAAGGCTTACATATATAAGACATATAAAACACTCCTTGTGTCAGAATAAAGCAAAAGACCAAGCATGTTTCAACCAAATTTTTACTAGTGGTCAATTATCTTCAAACAGCAATTCAACATATTTCTCTGTCAAAGAATGTGACTATGCGCACACGCACACACACACACACACACACAAACACACACACAGAGTATCTTGTTGCCTGAATAGATTCTTAAAAACAATACCCAAAAATAATATTTCAAAATTACTGGTAAACTACAGTTGTCCCATTAAACCAAATACATTCAATATCATGTTTATTTCCAATAACCCTAGCATATTTAAGAAATTCACTAAATTTTTCAGTTGAGGTAGATACTGAATTACCATAAACCACCATAATATATATATAGATAGATTGGGGATTTTGCTTTGCCTTCTCCTTCAAAACAGCCAAACGGTCAAAAATCAGTTTCAGGAGGCTAAAACAGTCACTTGAAAACAGGAAGAGCAAGCTAGTTAAAAGCAAAGCATAGTTCCTACTTTTAAAAAAAATAGTGAGTCAGACCACAGGTTCTCCTTGTTACTTCTGAATGTCAGTAGCTCTCCAGAGTCTCAGGCAGTAGTATTTCTCTTTTAACTGGAGATGCCAGGGATTGAACCTGAGATTTTCTGGATGCAAGGAAGGTGCTCTACTTCTGAGTTATGGTATGGCCCCCTCCCCACAAAACTGTGCAAGACTTACCAATATGGCATCGCTTTCCAGTGAAACCAGCCAGACAAGAACAGGAGTAGGAGGGGTTCCCTGTGATGCAGTCCTCAATACACTTTCCTGCATTCTGACAAGGGCGGAGTGTCAGACACACAGAAGCTGCAAGAACAAAGCAGTTAGCAGTTCATCAGATGTTGACACAACCAGAATATGTTGTCGTAACAATACTGGACTGACCAATTATGGCTCCTATTTTTTTGGGGGTAACTAACATACTGAATGGAAGTGCTGAATTTATTTTACATGATTCATCTCAACTGAGGCCATGTACATTTAAACTGGATTGAAGTTTAATAATT